GTCTGGGAAGATTCTTGCTAGAGGTTGTAGCTAATAAACATAGCTGAACTGAATCTGCATTATCTCTTGTAGTTCCTTGGGCTAGGCCTGACATCAATCTTCCCAGACTGAAATCCCAGCTCCCAAGCCAGCCAGCCACAACAGTGTGAATTCCTCAGGGAGGTGCCAGTCTCATCCTCTTGCTCCCACGCTCCCCCGGCGAGCTAAGAAAATGTTTATCTCCCTGAGCCTGGCCTTCATAATTCCATTCCATCACATTAGTAGTATGGAAGAGCACCAAGGAATCCCAGAAGACAACAGCAAACCATTCCAATAAAACTGACAAGAAAACTACATGGACATGAAGTCACCAAGAGTTAAGATCAATTCAAAAGAGAATTTTTTTTAAAGTTAGTAACAAATAATTCCTTTGTGTTAACATTTAAGATGTAAACACTGTATCCCTTGGAAGTACTATTGCCACCAAGGCATTGTAAAACATTATGCTAACCCTAACCCTAACCTCTCATGTATTATTTAACCTTCCTCTAAATCCAATTTGGTACAGAGCTTTAGAAACATAAAAAAGAGAGCACCATTAAAAAAAACCTGAAAAATCAAAACTTGGTTTACTAACAAATTGAAACCTGAAAATTCTGTTTCAACTGATCATGTAAAACCAAAATTTCTATCTTAGTTCTTAATGCTTGCTCAGCTTTCGATGTCCCAATGTACAGCCATTTTCTTCATTCCTTGTGAATTTAGCCATACTGTTATAGTTTCCTGCTGGCTTGTGAATAACAAATATGTAATAGATTATAAACATGTCTATAAAAACCTTGAACCAAAGAGCCATCTGTTCATTAGGTTTTAGACAAAGCACATTTTTAGGTCTCTCTGCTTGGTTTCTATTTTTCTCTCTTATTTTCTATGGTACTTTCTCCCAGGGTTGAGAACATGAATGGTTCTTCTTCAGAATGAGCTCTGGACTCCTTCTATGGGAAGAGTCACATAAAAATGAACAAATGACAACCATACCAATTATTATTACCTTTTGACTCCTTTGTCATTCAAAAAGTAGCTTCCCTTAATTCAAAGCAATTCTTTTCAAAAACATCCATAGCCTTATTTCCAATCCAACCTATGCTAATATTTGCTCACCTGTTGCTTTCACATTACTTACTATACGATACCCCCAACAGAAAACTCAGTAACAGGAGCACCATGACTTCATATTCTGTAACAATTTAGTGTCCAGTTCTGGCCCAGGTGATTCTGAAGCTTAAGGCCATATTTAACAAAATGCCAGGAGGTGCACAATTTCTTAACCCAGGGGTTTCATGTTTTCATACCTATTATGGAATTCCTTCACTAGCCACACTCACTGACTCATAACCTGCCTGCCACCTCTGCTTCCACTCCAAGAGGTAGACACTAAACACAACTCCTAGACTTCGAACTGAAGATAAAGGAGGACACCACTGCAGGCTTATTATCAAATGTCTTTTCCCCCATAAAAACTGTGACTGCTGAGGGTTATGCATCTGTGCCACTGCTCCAATCAGATTTATAGGATGCAGCCACACAGTGCCCTAAGCCATTTTGTGGCATCTGTGAAGGAATTTGCAAGAATTTATTAGATATTGTCTGGTCCTGCAACAATACTTGTTTGTCTGGATGAATGGTGATTACTTGATACAATATGACACAGGGTATATTGCTATTACAGTTTGTAAATCATGGCTTATAATTTAGCATACTTTGTTTAATCCAGGGTCTGGTTAAAAGAAACACGTCTTGTTCCACAAACCACTGTTAAAACTATCTATAGCTTGGCCCAAGGTGTGAATGCAGCTAGAACCTGCAAAAGCTGTATTTCAGATATTTGTTTTTAATTCAGCCCTTGGGATGATGAATGTTGTAGCTCTTGTTACCCTGCACAGGGTGGCCCTCCATTTCTAGAGCATTTTTGTTAGTGTTTGATGGCATTCCGGCTCCAACAGTTGCTTTTTAGCAAAGAGAGACTGATCGCACATTGACAACATCTAATCTAGGTTGGTCTGATCTGCAACAATTCATCCTCTACACCCACCCAAACAAGAATCTTTGGGGACTAGAGAATCTCTAATAAATTCTGTTCCTTCACAAAATATTTCCCTGCAGATTTCAGTAAAGAGCTCTAGAGCAGTATCTCGTTCACGCTCCTATCTGTATCTGGCTTGCCATTCCAGCCTTATGGGAGTTGATATTATACCTCGTGGCATTGACTTAGGGAAATAAGTGCAGTAGCTATAAAGTGTCTGCTGGGCTCTGCTCACAGTTCTCTAACAGAGCTATTGAGACTGGAGAGTGGTACTGCCTCTTAATCAGCTCATGGGGGAGGAAAGGGGAGAGAACAGCAACCTGACCTGGGTAGGGCACCATTTTCTCTCCATTCTGACTCCAAAATAGGAGCTACATGCCAAGGCCTTTTCTTATAAGCTACTGCCTGTCTTCTATGGGGATTTAGCAAGTTTCTGCCCAATTAGAGCAAAACTTCAGGTGAGCAAAGAACCAGTTGTATATGCAAACTGTGCTTGCTGGATCAGTATATCTGTTTTCTTCTCTTTTTAGAGAATGATTGCTGTTTCCTAAGAAAGAAGATGCAGTCTTATCCACTACAGAATTCTTGCACAAAGTTAAATGACAGTAAAGGTCAGGTGACTCCTGTTGTATCAGCTATCACAGAAACCTCAATACTGCAGTTTTCATTTCATCACATATCATTCAGCCATAAAAGTCAACATCCATAAGGAGAACACTGGAGATCAACATCTGGAATAAATAATTTTGAAGACAATTTCTAAGACTTAATTTTAGTTCATAAAAGTTAAGAATTTCAAATTAAAAAAAAAAAAACAGAATTGAAGCCTAGCAGCATTAGGTTTGCAGACTTCCACTGCAAACCATTCCAAAAGTAGGAAGAATTTTTAAATATTTATGTAAAAATAATTATTTATTTAAGTTAAATCTCCCAAAATTACATTCTCAAAAAGATTTTGTCTGAAGCAAACAACAGAATGAATCAGAAGCATGCATAAATTAAGTAGGACAATTCTGAAGGTTAAAATGACAATTCTGAATCTAGTGCAATTGAAGTTCTATAAACAAAATTTTAAACTTCTCAACTCAAAATATATTTTATTGACCCAAAGAGCTACCTAAGGAAGTCAAGATTTTAAAATGTATTTATAACAGTGGATGCCAATATAGAAACATCTCATTTAAAACATCTAGATATCATTATTCAGAAATCAATATGGGACTCTGTATTCAATAAAAAGATTTCATGAAAACTATTGACATTCTAAGATTCTCTCAAGCTTTGTCTAGCAAATTAACTGTTGGGTCCTTGCAAATTCTCACTTAAGCAAAGAGAAATAAAAATGTATTACCTCTGGTACAGAAATACAAAGACAAATGGTTTTCTGTAGAAGAAGTAAAACACTTAAGGCTTTATCCAGTCCCCATTTTCTCTGATACATACTATTTCTCACATGGGAACTTTCTTTAGGAAAGTCAATGGTTGAGGCCATGCTTAATATGGAACAGGTCCTGTACTGGGTCATGTCATTCCTACATAGAATAGAGACAGAGACTCCTGCCTGAAACCTTGATGTTACACATGTTGACAATACTGGGCTTTCAGCTATACTTCTGTAAGTAGAGGTCTGCACTCCTGAGACCACAGAACTCACCAGAAGGTTTGCCTGAATAGATCATGCCATTATTTGTACTAAGTTTCTTTAGGCTTCAGTAGTTAAGTTGAATTACTTCTGTATAGCAATCTACATGACCTATTTACCATTTTAGGGTTCTTCTTGGAGATATAACACAAGTATCATATGCCAGTAATCACAAGGAATCTCCTACAGCCTTTACAATAGCTCTCTGTCTCCAAGCAGAATGTGAGGAAA